GAAAGGATACATATGCTCTGATTTTGCATTTTGGATATATCATGTCTGTTTGGGTGTCTTTTTTATTTTTAATTTTAATGTCATTAAATGGAATATTATACTGGTGTGAAAAAAGAAATCAATAAAAAGGAATGCCATGCTAAATTTCTAACCTAAGAAAGGAAAAATATAAAGGCATTTATGATTTTATTTATTTATTTTGATGAGAACCTTCATGATTTTTGTTTATTTATTTTAAAAATTAGTGTATTTTGTATAACTTTTTGTATTTGATATTTTTGTTTTTGTTTTATTTCTAAAGATGTACCAAATTGTAGAGTTCTTTTAAATTCTTTTCAGATTGACTTTGACAACTAATACATGTATAAAATTATAGAAAAAATCAACATGAGAGTTAAGGCTTATGGCATCTTTCTTTGTATATTTGTTTCTTTGAACAGCAAAAAAATTCTGTAATCTTTATAAGAGTTTAAAGGTTATACTACAACCCTTATACCAAATCACCATTGTTTACACATTATGCATCAAATGCAAAACTTGAAACATACTAGAATCTTAAGAAGATTCAATACAACCAATAACCCAAACGCAGTAAGCCAAAAAGCTAAAGTTTTTTTTTTAAAGATATCATCTTTGTTCTTCTTTGAATCTTTCCACTTCCCCTGGACATATAATCTGTTAGCTAAAAGGATAAAGACTACCTACTAAAGGTGAACCCAACATGGACAAGAAATGTCAAATGGGTTTCTATAGAAAATGGGTTGACCATTGGAGGAAATTCCAAATGGGAAGGATCGGAGAGGAGAAAGAGAAAGGGATTATAAATTATAAGGGAAATGATTTTGGGACAATCTTTTTGTCCAACCTTTTTTACAACCTGATATGTCATTTACATGATTGGTTCTTTTTATTTATATGAATCCCGTGATATTGAATGCATCAACTCATTTAATGACATGAGGAAGTTATATCAAAAGGTGGTATATATAAAAGGTTACAGCCCAAATTCTAATTTGACATGGGCTAAAGTGGGTCCTACACCCATTACTTAAAAAATAAAATAATCTCTTAAATTTGCTAACGTTAAAAGATAATAATAAAATGGACGTCGTTAGTGATAAGTTACTAATGACGTCTTCTGAAGGATGACATTTAACCTATTTTGAGTAGCACTAGGATGACAATGGA